CATTTGAAGGAAGATAATTTCTTTGTGAATTACCAAGGTTCTTAAAAAAAAATCATAAGGGAGAAAGGCAGATACATTTATCAGAGCTTGCTTATGCACAGAGAGGCATACATGATTTAATCAAGGGTAATTGCTTTACCAGTAATAACTTGGAAGTGACACAAATAGTCAACATTACTTTGAGCATAGCAAGAGCCTTACTGTAATAGCTGTTTAAGTGCCTTTCAGCACATTTCTTGCTGTTACTTTCAGAAAACAGAAATGATATTAAAAGGCCCAAGGAGACTTAACTGCGCTTGAAGTGAGGACTGAATAGATGATTTGAATTCTGTGCCACTGGGTGGATTATTCTGTCTTCTGTTCATCTGGTTCTCTATCTACTATCTCTGAAAGCTGTACCTTGACAGGCTTGAGGGTTATTATGTGGAGCTCTTGCTGTTTCAACTGATCTTTAATTTTCAGTATGTCTCAGCATGATCTTAAAACTCTTTTTGGATTCTACTCCTTCCACATTCGGTTTGTCCTTAATCATTTTTTTCCCCTAGATTTCTCTTTTCCCCTCCCTTTCTCCTATCTTTCTCCTTTAGTTGTATCTTGTCCTCCTTTTCCTCCTCCTCCTTAATCTCAGGCTTGGCTTTTCTTTTCTCCTTGACATGGGATCAGGCTTTTCTTTTGACACAGGACTGGCACTCTCCCTTCTCTTTGACCTTAGACTTAGCCTTTCTTATGTCTCTTATTTTTGTTATATTTTATGTTTTTTGCTGGCATTGCTACCATCTGTCCTGGAGTTCCTCAAAGGGGATTTGTCATTTCATATACCATTCAGAATTTCTTAATGTAGCAAATCACACTCCTTTGCATTATCAGCAATTCTGCTATGTGTATTACTGTCCTGAGCTCAGGCTTCATGAGTTTAATTCTTCCTGACTTGTAGTAGCAGTTTACAAATTCTTCAGAAGGCTGATTTTTGTTGTTGGTTTTGTGTTCTTTTTTTTGTTTTGTTTTGTTTTTTGCTTTAGAATTCAGACTCTGTCTGGCATCATTATTTCCAGCCTGCATTTTATTTATTTATTTATTTATTTATCTACCTGTGTATCTTTTGTTTTATTGGAGAGAGGAAGTTGGTTGGGGTTTTTGTTTTGCTTTGTTTTGCTTGATTTTTTTCTTTTTTTTTTGTGTGTGTGTGTGTGTGTTTTTTTTCCTCAGCATTTTTTTTTTCTGTTTCCTTTCATTATTCTTCTTAACTGCAGTATTAATTAATAGGCTTGTCTGCAGCCATGTTAAGCTGATATTTTTTATCCTTTAAGCTGTGAGATTTTCTTTTGTTAATGTTGCAAAAATCTTCAAATTTCCTAATGAAACATGTATTATAGTGTATTCAGATGTTTACCCTTATTCTTCTGGTTAGGATTTTTTAGTCTGTTTTATCATATATTATATCTTCATTTTGATGCAGGTAGCTCTTGGCAATTCAAATGTAATTCACATGAGAAATGAATTTTCATTTTTCCAGTCTTATTAGAAAAGATTAGTACCTAAATACTTTTGAAGGCAAGATTTTTCAAGAAATGTCAGTTTTATTTTGAGAAAAATGTACCTCTGCAAATTCACCTCACTTGTTCCTAGATGCCATTGTGTTTTATAAAGAGCTTCATTCTTCCTTGCTGGAAAGCATCCTATGGTGATGGCCTCATCCTTTCAGATTCTGTGGTATTGTGGTTGGTAGCAGCCTTTTTTCTCTGAAGAGTAGACTCTGATTGTCATTTATGTCAGGCTGTTCTACTGACTTTGTTCATCTCTGGTCTCTGCTTGGGTTTATCCTGGTCTTGCAGATCTTGCACAGATTCATATATTCCTATTCTTTCTTTTTTTTTTTTTTTTTTTTTTTTTTTTTTGTGTGTGTGCGTGTGTGTGTAGCTTATTGCTGAAGCTACCCACCTTTTCTGTGGGATATTCTAGTTGCCTATGGCTGAGGTTTCAGTCCTTCACCTCTGGCTTCAGAGGAGTGTCAGTATTTTTCTGCTTTATTTGAGTATACTACCACAAGGAGATACTTATGGGACAGGCAGAAATCAAGACCAGAGGCACAGGTAGCTTCAAAAGTGTAACTATTTAAAGAAGAAGAAGATGAAGCAGAGGAACATGAGAAAACTATGATGTTAGGGAGAGAGAGAAAGGAAGAAAGAAACAGCATGAGTTCTACTTTATCTTTCTGATCTGCTTGAAGATAAGAAATACAGCTGGGAATATTATCATTTAAGGAGACTGTGTAGTCAAGAGATTTCCTGTCTTTTTCTGATGTGTTACTATTCATTAATGTTGAAAAAACAGCTCTCCCCTGGAGATTTTTCTTTTTGGCTGAATTCCTCTGTCTGGTCAGAGAGAGAATTCCTGCACATTTAGCAAGGTAAAAGATCCATTTCATAACCTTTTCACTACTTGATACTTACATTTGTTCTAAGTGGAGGCAGTAATTTACTATCACTCATTGCTTAGATATCTGTATGTCAACACTACCCCAATACATGCTAAAAGTGGGTGGTTTGATTTATTGCTGAACGCCCACATTCTTTGAATGGTCTTCTACCATTTGAGATGCCTGTGTTCCCTACTAATATATAAAATAGATTAAAATGTGTAATCATTGTAATGGATGCTTTTAAAGATTAATTTAATGCTGCTAAGACTCTGTTTATAATGATATATTTTGTCACGGTATGAATGTAACTGCTCCTACCAGAGTTACCATAGTCCAGCTGTACTGATGAATAGAACTGAGCATCACAGAACAAAAAAATAATCTTACTTTTCAACTGGATATTGTGAAGAGCTATCAGATGTTTTGGGGATGTCTAGAGAGGCAATCATGTAAAAAAAAAAAAAACAACAACAAACAACAAACCCCTACACAAACAAACAACAAACAACACTTTTTTTTTTTTTTTTTATTTTTTTTTTTTTTTTCCATGAAATAGAGCTTTTGTTTCTCAAGGAAGGCTTCAGGAAGTAAGATTAGAAGGACTTTCAAAGTCCCTTGACATTTATATTAGACTTTTGTTTAAAAAAAAAAAAAAAAAAAAAAAAAAGTTACAAATACAGAGGAAAAAATGTCACTCTAAAAAAGAAAATATGTATTGAAGACTTCCATGTTTTATCTTACAACTTGACTATTAGTCTTCTGATGTGTGTATATACTTCCACAAGAACTTGCTGGTAGAAAAGAAGTGCAGTATTTGCAGTTCTCTTTTAAAGAGCAGTTGCCTATTAGGGAGATAAGTTATAAATAAGAGGCATAATCTACATGAGCAGTGAGATCTCCAATAGAAATGACACTGTCATATGGATTGATTTAAGGCATTATCATAGCTTGGAATAAAGAATGCCCTAAGCTTCAACATGATTCCTCAAAGGGTGTGTATGAAAATGTATACTGCTGCCAGGTTTCCTGTGTGATAAGTGTCCAGATGGACGCTTTCACAGTTTAGTTGGAATGTTTCACACATTTTTTAATCATAAAAAATTGTACTTGACTCCATGTTCCTAAATTAGTTCTTTTCAGACTGAAATATCCAACCAGACTGAGAGACTGAGATATCCAACCACAGGTACATAGTTCTAGAGGTAATCTCATCTTAGTTACATGGGATTGAGAATTTCATTGCAGCTGTTCCAATGAATAGCACTTACCATGAGTGGTTTGGCTGTAGTAAGTTTAAAAAAAAAAAAAAAAAAAAAAAAAAAAAAAAAAAAAAAAAAAAAAAAGAAAAAGCAACAATTATTCAGCGTGATTAAGATTGCAGTATATGACTATAGCATTTCATTTAGACTTTATTGTGGTCAAAAGTTAAGTACAAAGCCTGATATAGAATAGTAGTAAGAATAGTGGGATTACTTTATGTCCTCGCTTTCACCTGTCGTTTGTTTTGCAATTATAGCTTTCATTTAAGGTTTTTGTCTGTATTGATCAAGATAGTGAAAATATGAATAAATGATATGTAGTATCATGGTGCACTAAGAGATACAAACAAAAACCAATATGAGTAGCATGTGTACAGTGCCATAACTGTTGCTATGCTGACTTTGTGAGAACATGTTTCAGCTGATGCAGTCTTCAAACAAATGCAAATTATTTGAAGTAACTTTTTAAAAAAGTTATGTTTTGAAGTTTAAATTCCAGTGTCTCAGTGTAGTCCTCAAGAAGAGACTATTGGCAAATATTGGTAGTTAGTCTGTCAAATATCTAAATGGATAGTTTATTGATAAATAAATTACCAATTAAAATGTCATTTGCAGTATAAGCTCCAGTTGTGAATTATTGATTATTCAATAAGAAATGTCTGGTACACGTGTAGTGTTTTTCTGGTCATCATTACTTATGTAGAAAACAAACAAAAAATAATACTACATTTTTGTGAAAGATAGTTAAATCCAGGTAAACTAATTGAAATTCTTGAAGTAAACCATGCTCAACTAAGACTTAAATATCTAAATCTTGTAGAGGATCAGATGAGAAAGTGCATTATTGCTATTTTTCCGTAATGCTTTCTGCTGAAGTCTATAGTATATGATTTCAGGAAATAATAAATAACTGTCACGTGATTTAATACTCTCCATTTGAACATTTACAGTATATGCTTAAACAAATATTTTTATAATAATAATGTAAAAAAGCTTTTTTTTTTTTTCTTTATTTATCTTAAGGTAATTCCCTTAATTTTCTTTCCCTAAAATGAGTACCTCTGTGGTTTTAAGTATTAAAGGAAATTTTGCACAAGAGATTGATATGCACAGAAAAAAAAGTTCTAGTAATTGTTATGGCAAACATCAATAGATTATCATAATATTTGTATCTTCTGATTATCTATCTCTATATATTTAATCTGGAAAATCAGTATTGCAGGTAACATCATAAGTGTTATTTTTTTGTCACTAACTGTGACTAATAAGTCTGCTCTTTTTCTTTCTTTTACTGAAGAACACTTTATATTTCTTTCTAACAGGCAACATTTGTGCTGTAACTAAAATGATGGCATGCTGCCTCCTTTGGGGGGATTCTGAAGGTTTCTCAAAGATGCAACACAGTGGTAAGTACTAAAATTATGGTCAGAATAATACTGTTCTTCGAAAAATATATTACATGGATGAATAGCAAACCTCCCTTGCTGATGTCCTTAAATTTATTTGAAATATGTGTTTGCAATATATACTTCCAGTTAAAATGCTTGTGATTTATCATGTGTTCATACAACAAGATCTGGAATCCAGTCCATTCTAAATCGTAATGCTGTTTATGTGCTTATTCATGGTAAGCAGGAATTTTGTATATTTTTCAGTTCTGGAAATATGGAGCAGTACCAGTGTGCAGTTAAAAGATACTGGATTAAAGTTGGCTATTGTGATAGTCAGTCAGACAAATAGGCATGAGAAGACATATCTTTTTCTCTCACTTTATTTGTAAAATAGGAGGTAACATTGTTTAATAGTACACATAGACACACACATATATGCAAATGCGTACACATATGTACACACATTTATGCATTCGGAGTATGACAGACTGGTTATAAGATGAGGGTACCATTATGTGAATTGTAAAGATCAGACAAAGAAAATAACAGCTTTGTAAACTCTTGTGATTTTTGCATCACTGAACCATATTTATTCCAATTTATTGTAATTTAAATGTAATACAGTAAAAACATTTGATGAATAGGAGCCTGTTTAATAGTTTAGCATCCATGCTGACCACAGTCATAGCTGAACTCTTAGTGGTTATTATAATAATAGTACATGTATGCATGAATACATACGAAAGATTCAATTACCCACTCTCCTCAGAGCACTTGTGATTTTGGAAAGAATCAGGAAAAAGGAAAACAATTGATTTAAAGAATGCAAAGCTGATATAAATAAAACACAGCTGAAGTTAAAGTCAAAATAATTAGTTGATTTTTTGGAACTGACAGTTCATGTTTAACATTAGCCACAGCCAATTTCCACGAAGGGACAGAAAGTCTAATAATCTCAAAATCTGTCAGAGTGTACTCAGATAAATGACAGAAGGTGGGAGGAATTTGGAAAGAAATCTAAGGGATGGCGTGATTGTAGTTTTCAATGTTTTCATAGCATGTTGTTTGTTTTTCCTAATAATGCAGAGAAGGAAATTCACGGAGAATCAGAAGAAAGGGAAACAAACAACATTAAAAAAGTGAGATAGAGCCTACTGATCTCTGTATTTTAACCTTTAGACATCAGAAGACGTGTGCCTTTTGAAAGTTTCCTTGCTTGTGTGAAGTGATAATTGGACTGTACGTAAACTAAGAGAATTAAAATTGAAGTTTTAAATCTACTTCAGATTTATTGCAGATCCTCTGCTTGCTGGTTTCTTGAAGCGTAAATTGTCACAAGCATATATGTTCAGTTGCCAATCCTAAATTACTCACCACAACCACAGTAGAAATATGCTAGTGTATGCTAAGGAATTTGATATTTTGTCTGGAAGAAGATTGTATTATCATGGGAGGTTGTCAAGAAATGAAGCAGATCTGAAGGTTTTAAGAAGAGAGCACAAGCCAAACCAGCTGTGATGATATATTTGTAGTGGAGAGCAGGGAACCATTTGCATGATCAGAAGAACTGGAAGAGCGGTGGGAATCATTATCAGTGTTTCAAAAATAATAGTTGTTATGACTTTTGCTGTATTGTTCTGTTTATATGTAAAGAAAATACAGAAAGGAATCCCTACCCCTTGACAACTTTCACTATTTTCTTGATATCATTCTCATGCAGAACTCCCGCTAAAATTCTTCACCATAATCCTACAATCAAAATGATCCTCCTCAAGGAGAGAAAAGTGCAGTTAGTGTTTAGAGTATGTAAGTGAGTGCCTGCTGGTGATATCCAATATAGTAACAAACATGAAACCAAGTAAATGGTCCTCAGATTTTGATCTTACTTCACAAGTAGAAGCTAGTTTAAATGGTACAATTTCATTCTAAAATCCTGACCTGACAGCTGACTGTGCAGATGGAGCCCTGTGGTAATCTGTGGGATGCTGTGTATTTTCTTTGATGTAGCCACATACTGTCAGATTCTTGATCATGGTCTCAGACTCTGATCAAGCCTTTTGCCTTGTATCATTTATGGTAACAAATGTGAAGGAATAATGAAGCCTTCACATTAGAAGGCAGGAATAAATCACTCCAGCTCTAATCACAAAATTTTAAGAAATAGATCACTTTTTAGCTGTCTGAGGAGAGCCAGGGCACAATATAACTCCTTCTCAAATCTCAGGATTCAATGTGGTTCATTGGAATCTTTGCTTTTCCTCCTATTGTCATGATTTATGGCCACAAATGGAAGCACTCAGCTGAACAATGCAAACTCTTGTTAAACAGTGCTTTCATTGGATGATTGGTAAATTGAACCTTAGCAAATTATGTGTAGCAGTCTCAATAGCTTCATGACATCACTGATGCTGTGATATGGGAATTTGAAGTGACGTATCCATTCTTTCTTTTATTGCAGTATTTATGTGTTTCAGTGTGACTGACCTAACTAATTAAATGTAGACACACTGTAAAGATTTCCACCAAAATGTAGATTTCTGAAGAATCCAAGTAATCTAGATCTGTGTAATTATGATGTAACAATCACAGAAACATTCCAGAGGATTAAATTTATTTCAGGTGGCAATACAATTAAATGTATTTAACACTTTTGCCTAAAATAATTACTGTGATTAAAAAAAATAATAAAAAAATAAAAATAAAAATCTGACACATGATTCCTTTAAAACTTTAAGATGTAGAAACTATTCTTATCTAAGTAATGATTCCTTAAACACAACTGATATTTTAGACAATTAATTTGAACTATTTAAAACTCGTGCATTATTTAGAGCATTGTACCACAGCCAATAACAAAGGACTTAAAATTACCTAATTTCAGTATTACGCAGACTGGATGGCTAATTCCATGAATTACAATTAGCCATCCAGTCTGCATAATACTGAAATATTCAAGCAAGAAAAAGAAATATAAAATAATCATACGATGTACTTTGCATATGCTGCTCATTTGAGTAATTAGAAATGTTTTTTTTTTAATTGTCATATTAAATTCAAAGAACTTGAGTGCCAGATTTAATATATTTAATTATATATACATATATTTTCAAAATAAATAATATTTTAGTATTTTAACTAATGCTTGAATGGGAACATGCTTTATCACTGTAACTCATAAAAATTAAATGTACTGTACTGAAGAAGGAGTGATGTTTTATCAGCTTGTGCTAATAATTTTTAACCTAAGGAGTAAAAAAACCCACCTCTTTTTGCTATGAAAGGTAGAATACTATCCTTTGACAGTAAAGCCCTATGGTAAATAAATTACATACAGTGTTGTTCTTCATGCTCAGTTCACAACATGCTGTGTCTTCATTCATTAACTGCACAACTGTCATGTTTTGTTTGGATATCTCAGTAGTATGACAAGTGAGACCACTTTCTACATCTTTTGCAAAATACCATTTTAGCTCTGGAATCATCAGCTCTAGTTTCTAGAGTTGAAGGCAACTGAATAATGATATCCTTTTAATACAAGTTATAACACAAGTTATGATAACCAGGGCCATGTTTGTTAAACATGTAAGAGTCCCAAAGTAAATGGTCTTGTATATACATGACAGGTAATTTTTAACACACATGTAGTACTTTAAGAAAATCGACATAGGAACTGGGATTTAGGGAGAAAGTAGGTGGAAAATAAATCTAGAATTGTAAAGTTTTGCTTTGGTAAATTTTTAAGTAATTAATTAAAGATGAAACCTGTTTAAACAAGGATCCCTTCTGCTTATCACATAGTTATTTTATCAGGAGAATTTAGCTTTTTGGGTCTTTGTGATAGATCAGGCTGCTTAAAAGCAGACTTCTAGTGCAACTTCAGGAGTCCTGCAATACTCTGTTATACTTCCAGAAGTACTCTAGAAGGCCTCTTTTCTTGTAACTTATTTTGTGTCTGCTAGACTCATATACAAGGGCTTCACACTCAAATATTTCCACTTCCACAATCTGGATGTATATCTAGACATTAAGTAAGTAGAGTAGATCCCCACTGAGTTGCTAGAGACCTAGCTTACAGGCAGGCTACTTCATTTAGGCAGCAAAGAATGTATCCACTTATCTAGAACTAAAATTTGTTCTTTCTTTTTAATTCTGAAAACAAACATAAGTGTGAGGCAAGCAGTAAACTAGTCAGTCAAGACTGGACAGCTGGCTGCATGCAGAAGCATATCTTTCTGTCTCTAGGGAAAACTATTATTCCTCTGGGCTTTTCAGGTATCTAGAATATTAGGTGAGATTTTTGTGGCTCTAAGCCTCATTGTGCTTTATGATACAGAAGAGTGGGCCTCTAACGTTTTATGTATTTCTAAGGTTAACTAGTAAGAAACATAAAGACCATTTTGATCCTCTTCTGGATATAAATCTTGTCTTAGATACCTAGGACTTTTTTGGATTTGACCTTGTTCATTTTATGGGATGGAGAGAATTGAAGAGGAATTCTTAGTCTTCTAGGAGCTGGCAAGATGAGATGTAGCTATTCTGAACTGCTGGGAATGAATTTGGAACACTGGTGTCGCGGAAAATTCCGGAGGAGAGGAAAATAGTCTGGGCTTTGTTTTGAGAAACTGACTGGATATTTAAGTGTCTTTAAAAAATGCTAGTATTGTATTGCTAGAGGAAACAATGTAGCATAGTTCTTTAATGATGAAAAGTGCTGAATTATTTCTGTTCTGTGCCAAATGCAAGTAATCCACCACAATTATGCTAATCACTGCCCTGAAAACAAATTGATGCAGCTATTGAGTGACTAGGGAAGATAATTTATTTCGTTTTCAAATGTAAAAAAGAAAATTAAAATGCTTTCACTATCAGAAAGTCAAACTGCTTGCAGAAATATCTTAGAACTGAAAATCACTGGTTCTGAAGGTAAATTTGTTTGTTTGTATATGTGCATGTAAAGTACTTTTAGCCTTAATTGCATGCCAGTTTAGACTCAGACATGTAGTATTCTTCAGCTG